ATAATAATAATAATATTAAACTATTTTACTGTAACAAAAGCCTTTCCCTGTTGCGGGAGTTCACGTACAGAGAGGTGATGCCGTTATCATCTTCTTGAATATCTCGTGACTCACTTTATTATTTACAAAAGTGATTCTTCTGTGCCCACTTATCATTGGTTAACTACAATTACTAGCCCACCTTACACACAACAGAATTGGCTCTTAACATGTCAGTCATAAAATGCCCCAGTCATTGTTCTCCACCTCTAACCATCTCCAGCTCCTGCATCCCACAGCAGGAGCTGCTTATCTCGCTCCCTCCTTCCTCCCATTCCAGCTGCAGCTGTGTCCCTGGACAGCTTGGCTTGCAGCTTGCTCAGGCCCTGCTAGCAAGGCTGGATTGCTGACATGTCCCTTAGCAATCAGAAATTCTCCCACACCCTACCTCTGTGAAGAGTTCCTCAGAAAGAGGATCTTGGAGGAGAGCACAACTTTACATGTAATGTGTTTTATGTATGTGTAAGTATTAGTGGGTTTAGTACAGATTTGAAGACACAGTTGACTTTTCAGCGCTCTTACTTAATTTTTAGTTTAATTTTTCTGCTGTATCTGGCTGATGGCACTTACAGAGCTTTTATTTGCCAGGTAAATGACCTTCGCAAAGAATTAGAAAGTCGAACCCTTAGCTCTAAAGGACTGAAATCTCAGCTGATAGCTCGACTGACAAAGCAGCTGAAAGTAGAGGAACAAAAAGAAGAGCAAAAGGAGCTAGAGAAGTCTGAGAAGGAAGAGGAAGAGGAGGAGGATAGAAAATCTGAAGATGACAAAGAGGTTCGTATTTGGACATACTTGAAGTTTTATTAGATATACATAAACACATAAAATACGTTAAAATTTTGTATGAATACGTATAAGTATAAAAAGTACAGGAACATGCCTGGTCATGCTGTGGTTTTGTGGCTCTTGGGTGCCTGCACTGTGAGCCCTGGCTGCAACTTGAGTGGCTGAATTGGAAGGAAATCTCAGCCAGTTTGAATTTACTTATAGCAGCCAAGGTAGCTGAAATGTGCAGCTGCACGAAGGGTGTCTGAGTTAATGTCAGACAGGAAATGTAAGGAACAGTGACTCCTGAGTGTCCAAGTTAATATCAGACAGGAGATGTAAGGAACAGCGATTGCCAAACTCCTGAGAAAAGCTGTGCCCGAGAACGGGTGAGCATACTGAACGGGATCTTAACTGCCTAAACCTGTGTGGGAAGCAGCTGCTCAGTTTTGCTGTGTCGTGTCTCAGGCAGTCCACCTCATATGGCTGATGATTTGCTTGGGTTTGTTGTCCCTTGTTCTGAAGCTTTGATTTTTGCTTTTGGAGAAATGTGCTGCGTGTTGAAGTTTCTCAGTTTGGCAGTTGGTAGTTGCGGTACTGCTTAGTCTGTTTTGCTATTTCATGAGGATAAACCTCTGTAATAAGGCCAAAGCTCAACCACAGAAAAGGGTTGGAAATGTCTGGAGAGTGTATGGTGAGTTGCTTTTAAACATGCCTTTTGTGTGTTACCTGCTAACCAGTATGGGATGACTGGAAATTTTATATTCCCCTGTAAACCTTGTTGAGGGAGCAAAGCTCATGTGCTTGCTAGTTGTGTCAGCTGCTGCTGGGATGGGCTTCAGCCAGCTTGGGGTTTCTCAAAACAGCTTTCCCTCGGATTGGAGGGGACTGTTGACTGTGCTGGATGTTTTAGAAAGCACGAGCTCTTCCATGGCTTTATTTCTGTACTCAGAAGACTTCAGTATTTTTCCCATGGCAGTCAGTAAGCTGCTTGGCATTTGACCTTTTTAACCCCATCTATAGAGGTTGCATTTCCATAATCAAGAGTTGAGTACGTTGTCATCTGGAAACTGTTAAAACTCTGTTCAGTATCTTTGGGGAGATGATATATGAAGCCTTTCTCCTCCTTTGTAAGGAATAAACAGCTTGTGTACTGTACAGCTCTAAAAATACCTCTAGACAGTCAAACGACCCCTCAGGAGCATCCTTGGCTACCTGCAGGGCCATTTCTTGAGGGTAACTATCTTGAGTCCTTCTGATGTCAGATGAACACGCTGCAGTGAGCACCATGAGAGAGTTGGAAGGTGCTCGTTACTCTGTGGGCTAAAAGACACCGCACGTTCTGCTTTGTGTTGCTCCAGTTTCCAGTTGTCTTAGGCAAGCATTGGCAGGGGGCACAGGATGCATTTTGGGAATTCTAGTCTGACTTCTGCTCTGCTTTCAGCAGCTTAGGCTTTCCTTCGCTTTCTTCAGAGCAGGGAGGCCTGAAAACTAATGTATAGGCTGAAACATCTACTTTGGAACGTACTCCATGTTGGGATTTTGCCCCTTTTTAGGAGGAGGAAAGAAAGCGCCAGGAAGAAATGGAGCGCCAGAGGCGGGAGAGACGCTACGTCCTGCCTGACGAGCCAGCCATCATTGTGCACCCCAACTGGGCAGCCAAGAGCGGCAAGTTCGACTGCAGCATTATGTCCTTAAGTGTTCTTCTGGACTATAGATTAGAAGACAATAAAGAACATTCCTTTGAGGTAATTTAGCTACGCTACGTACAGTTGGCCATTCTTCTTGCTTTAATTGTGTGCGGCAGTGCGGTGTTCTCAGATCGTGAGAGTTCATGCTCGCATGGCAAAACAAAACTAAGTTTAGTTTCTTTGTGTAACACCTAGCAAAAAATATCTGGTCTTTGGTGTGTGGCTTACAACAGCAGCATAGGCACTGCACGACATCCAGATGGAATGCACAGGTTTTCAGATGTGGAACAGAGTTTGCAAAGTTGTTTTAGGTTTCCACATTCAAAGCAAACAGGAATAAGTTTGACACTATGTAAAATTCTGACATGGTGAGAGTTGCTAAGGTAGCACCTCACAGCTGCTTTATCGCAGCTGTACACATTTTTATGCATGTGTTAAAACTTCTTGTCATTTGCATTCTTGTTTTATGTGCAGGTGTCGTTGTTTGCAGAACTCTTCAATGAAATGTTGCAGAGAGATTTCGGTGTCAGAATTTACAAAGCACTGATTTCTCTCCCAGAGAGAGAGGACAAAAAAGACAAAAAGAGCAAAAAAGAAGAGAGAAAAGAAAAAAAAGAAGAAAAAGATGATGAGATGGATGATCCGAAACCCAAGAGAAGAAAATCTGGAGATGATAAGGATAAAAAAGACGAGAGAGATGACAAGAAGGTCTGCAGTTGGCTCATATGCAGTACTGTCCTGTCTTGATCAGTACAGAACTCTTTCTATTTGAATTTTACCTCATTACTTTCAAAAACTCAGGTCTTGTCATGTTAGATACCTAATGTGACTTCTTGATCTGTGTAGATATGTTCAAATTATATTCAGTAATTGAAACATTTGCAGGTGTATTGGGAGGATTTTAACATGTAACTTTATCCCACATGTTCGTATTTGTGTCCCTAAGTGGCTAACACAAACATGGGCCAATTCTGAGTGACTGGTAGTGAGGTTTGTACTCTGCTGTTTCTTGGTTCTGACTAGATAAACTTTTAGGAACTTTTGTTACAGAGAGAAGATAAAAGGAAAGATGATGCTAAAGATGAAGAAGAAACTGAGGAGGACAATAATCAAGAAGAATATGATCCGATGGAGGCAGAAGACGCTGAAGATGAAGATGAAGGTATCTAGAACTGTGCATGTTGCGATTTTCAGAAAGTTTTGTTGTCAGTGATGATGTTCTTTCAAGCTGGAGAACACGCTGGAACTAGAAAATTTAAAGTTGCATTATTAGATTAGTTTTGCTTTGGTAAATGTGAGGAGTTCTGCATCGAATGTAAGTACCTGTGTGCCAGGCACTGTGTGAGCATCGCTGAGCTGAACGGGCTGTGCTGCTCTGAGTGAGGCACGCCTATAGAAGTGGTTTTGTTTCTTTCAGAAAGCAGACCACTCGCAGCTCCCATTGAAGTCAGTAGGAGATGTGAGTATTCAGCACCTCTGAACAGCCAGGCCACTTTCACGTGCCTAACTTCCTACTCCTGAGTTCTCAAATGTCATCCTGTTTCTGTCAGGACACCGTGCAGTGTTGGTTGCTCTTTATGTGAGGTTGCAAGAAGTTGATTTCTGTTTGGGTGGAGTTGTGTTTGCCTGAAAAAGTAGATAGATAGTCTGGAGAAGTTTGCTGTCTCCAGGGAGCAGCAGTAGCCCTC